ACAATCAGGAAACGACAAATGCCGTTTTTGGGACACATAAAGAGACATAATAAGGGTCTTGAACATCTAGCTCTCACTTGCAAAATTGAGGGAAAGCGAGGCAGGGGAAGGCCCAGAACAACATACTTGGGGAACCTAAACAAATGAGTAACAGAGACTGATCAGGGAAAAGTGGCTTTTTTTTTAGAGCATCCGAGCAAAGGAATGAATGGAGAACCGTGATCACCGATGTCCGTCTGGCACTGGATGATGATGATGATGATATAGGTCCATCTTCAGTCTTGTGTGTTTGATATATCTGATATTGCTATGGCCTTAGGCTAACTGACATATCGTTTAATTTTTATGGTCTGGTTTTTTTCTTCTGTTTTTCTAATTTATTTTTTTTTGGGGGGGGATCACTTTTTAAACTGTATATGTTTAAATAATTTAATTATTTTGTGGAGCTGATGGCCATTACCATATCAATGTGTTTCTTTTTCTCATATAAGTCAGCATAGTTGACTACTGGAACTGCATCAGTGTGGGTTTTTTGTTAAAACAAAGAGTCACAGTTTAAAATAGTACTGTCTGATTTCCTTCATGTGTATTTGCTTTTTAATTTTCTTTTTTACTGAATGCTATCTATTTACTTTTTTGTAAACCTACCCTGGTTGTGGCTCGGTCCGACGTTGTGTCCTTGGGAAAGGCTCTTTACGCGAACTTCCCACTTGGTTCAGTCCTTTCGGAGACGGTCGTTAAACTAGGAGGCCCCGCCTCTTAAATAACCTAATAGTGTTGATAGGGACATAAAACCCATACCATTTCACCATTTCTTTTCATCAGGTTGTGGGTGGGTGGTTGGTGGGTGCTCTGGTGTGGTTTGCTTCTTCTTTCCTATCAAACATCTATCGTCTTTATCGCCCCTCCTTCTTTTTTATGTTTGTTACTCTCTTGTAACACCTCTAATCTTTGGCTCTTATATGACCTTATTGTGTTGCAAGTGCAGTAAAACTCTTACTGAATCTCAACTTAAACTACCCAGGTCGTGGTGAACAAGAGGACCATCAGTCTGCTGGGCAATGCTGTGGCGGGCGTCAATGTCGGGCCGTGTTCTCACCCCTGTGCGGGCCAGCCCTGCCTCAACGGAGGCGAGTGTAAGCCCGTGAGGGACGCCTACACCTGCTACTGCCCCATTGGCTATTCCAACACAAACTGCGAGGACGGTAGGTGTTGTACCCGACAATTGTCCTGTGTCGAATGAATATATGTAGATACAGAAAGAACAAATGTGTAATTTTTAAAATTAAAAAAAAAATTTTTTCCCCCTTTTTTGGGGGGGCGGGGCTCGCTTTGCTTTTAACAAATATTTGATAGGGGTAAAGATTTTCCTCCTTCTTTGTGGAAGGCATGATTTTTTTAATTTTTCGGGAAATCTTTATCAAATCTATGCTGCTCTGAAGTTACACTTAATTTAACGTTGATGTTTGATATAAAGCAAACACAGAAGCTCAGGGGTTGTTGTTTTTTTAAAGAGATTAGTTCCCTTTCTTCATAAGGAATAGGACAGATATTGTTTGGGCCTAGGCACACAGATAGAGTTTAGTCCTAATAACACTATTACAGTTTGGTCATATAAACACAGATAAAGTTTGGTCATATAGAGTTTGCTCATATTAACAGAAATAAAGTTTGGTCATATTAACACTGATAAATTTTTGCCATATTTAACTCAAATAATGTTTGGCTATATAGAGTTTGGTCATATTTAACACAAATAAAGTTTGTTCATATTAACACCGATAAATTTTGGTCATATTTAACACAGATAAAGTTTGGTCATTTAGAGTTTGGTCATATTAACATACATAAAATTTGGTCACACATACAGAGTTTGATCATATCAAAACACATAAGGTTTGGCCATATTAACACAAATAAAGTTTGGTCATTTTAACACCGATAAATTTTGGTCATATTAGCACAAATTATAAAGTTTGGTCATATAGAGTTTGACCATATTAACAGAGATACATTTTGGTTGTGTAGAGTTTGGTCATATTAACACACATAGAGTGCGGTTATTGTATCACACCCTGGACAGTTTCATGACATGTAGGTGTCTTCACAAATTTTATATCAATACTGGCTTTTAAAAAAGGGCGCTAAACCCATAGGTTGGGAATTGTCAGGATACTTTTTTAGTTTGGATATTGGTGGATTTCAGTCTACTAAGGGATGCAACTGAGGAAAGAAATGTTCAGACTTTGGATAAAGTAAGAATGAGCCTGTATTTTTTGCTTGAGCAAAGCACAAGTCGTGCAATTCATTAAAAAAATTCAGACTTTTTACTCCTAGGTTCGTTGTGATAAGCTGTCTCCCCTGCCTAATGCAAAAAAAAATTATGAAATTATGAAAACAGCCCAAAAATGAAATTTTGCGATTCTGTTAATTTTAACTAAGAATGATAAAGGAAAACAATCAGAAATTATGCAAAAAATGATCAAATTTAGCTAAATTTTGCGGGGTGCATAAAACCCGGGGTCAGGATAAGTCAGAAGTTTTCAGTCATTTTTATCTGGCATTTTTTTAAATCAAAGAAAAAGAGACAAAAGAAAAGGTGGTTATTTATCTGTTGTGCCTTTTGAAAAGTACCGCGGAAATTGTTCATGACGGTCACCCATTGCTGAACTGAGAAGTGTTTGTCCTCGGCAGGGGTGTCTTTAACAGTATCATTAGGCCTATAATATAGAAAAATGCAGGGGGGGGGCAGGGGTGTCTTTAACAGTATCATTAGGCCTATAAGATACAAAGATGCAGGGGGGTTGGGGGGGTGGCAGATGTGTCTTTAACAGTATCATTAGGCCTATAAGATAGACAGATGTGTCTTTAACAGTATCATTAGGCCTGTAATATATAGAAATGCAGGGGGGGGGGAAGTGGACTATGGTTGTTTGTACAGGTGATTGTCTTAGATCTGTAGGTGCCGTTACAGCGGCTTCAACTGTGTTTGGGAAGATTGGGTTTGTTTTTTTCTTTTGTTTTTGCGAAGCGAAGAGAGGGTTTACATGCTTGTTTTTTTTTGTTTTTGCAAAGCACATTAAACTGTCTCCCAGTAAAAATTTGTAAGGTATATAAAAGTAATCGATACTGTCTGTTTTCTTCAACTCCATCGAGTTTCTAACTGGTCAGTTATTCATGATAATGACTGAGCCTTGTTAAATATCTCATTTTGCAATGCGTAAAAAAATAATCGCAACAGTATACCATTTTTCAAAAATCATCAAGGTTTATTTCTCTAACTTTTGGGCTGTCGTATTTTCTACCTCATTGCATGTATCTTAATTGAAAAAGCATAATTTCTTGCAAATTCTTGTTTTCCATAATTTGTCTCATAAAGTTCTTGTTGCTATATTGTTTTCTTCAGAACAAGCACAGCTGCCCAATAAGCCGATGTTCAGCGGACAGAGTTTCCTCCAGTATAGGGACAAGGAAATCACTAAAAGGTGGGAGAAATCTTAAACATGGTTTACTAGCTGGCTTTTGAATTTGGATAAAGAAGAAAACATGTAGCTGTATGATTTCATCCGAAAATGTTAGTTTGGCTACAAGAGTAGGAATTTATTTTTGTTTCTGTTAATTGAAAGTTTTGACTTTTTGACAAATCGTTTGCGCAGTATGTAGTTGGTATTTATGTTCAGTTACCATCGGCAAAACAAATAGTCAATGTAACCCTGTTACCCAAAATTTTACTTAAAATGTTATCTTTTCAGTATGCTTTTCCTGGACTAACTCAGACAAACATCTTCCGTTAAGCACGAAAGAAAACCAAAGCTTAACTTTTAGTTTACAAAAACCTTTTCAAATTATTTTTTGTTTATCAAATTTTGTCATACAATTTTTGAGCGTCAGAAACATCCAAATAATGCGGATCTTATTTAACCTGTTTATTTAATATAACTACCAAACTGAGTAGAAGTGAATGCTCCATGCAGCAAACGTACAGTTTACATATAGATCAGATGGATTAATTGAGATTAAGGGTTTTTAATACCACTGTAAACAACTGAGCGATGCCATGCACCAACAGAAATGGCTTGATATATACTCAGAGTTAATGAAAAAGCTGTCAAACTCTCCACAGGGTCTCTTGTGGTCTAGAGGTAACGGTGTTCGCCTCTCTTTCTGTAGGTCCCGGATTGGAAACCTGGCAGCGACAGAAATTTTCTTCTCAAAACTTTTCTCGTTTCACCTCCTTTTCTGCATTCAATATTGATTCCTACCACTCCAAAAAAGTTTAATGCGAGCACTGTAAAACTTTTACCATCTTAACCTTAGGGCATGCATCAGGATAATATTGAGTTATTACGGTTAGAGTACTGAGTATGTATCTAGCTTAAGATTATTATTGTTTATATTACTGTTCATTTATAATATACCCATGACTGTAAGGCTGAACGTGCGCATGTGTGTGCGTGTGTGTGTGTGTGCTTGTGTACGTGGTGAAACACCGCACCAATGTGCCAGGATCTGGACAATAAAGATGTATCTTATAAAACAAAAAACAACCTCTCCACAGAGTGGTTGGCGGGTGCTCTGGTGTGGTTTGCTTCTTCTTTCCTATCAAACATCTATCGTCAGTATCTTCCCTCCATCTTTTGTGTTTGTTACTCTCTTGTAACACCTCTAATCTTCGGCACTTATATAACCTTATTGTGTTGCAAGTGCCGTAAAACTTTTACTCATCATCCAGTGCCAGATCTGCGATAGACATCGGGGATCATACTTCTCCATTCATTCCTTTGCTCGGATGCTCTCAAAAAAAGCTAGGTTTCCCTGATCTTTCCTTGTTACCCATTTGTTTAGGTTCCCTAAGTAGGTTGTTCTTGGCCTACCCCTGCCTCGTTTGCCTTCAATTTTGCCAGTGAGAGCTAGATGTTCAAAACTCATACTAAAACAAACAAACAACCTCTCCAAACCCCCGGGGCAGTGCCACTGACTGTAGTGTCTTTAGGCCGTTCCCAAACGGGGGACATTTCTCGTTCAAGCATTGTAGAATTGTAAATGGGCTGACTCATGTCACGCTATAACAGTGCCTGATCTACAACAGGGAACTGCTGCTTTTTCTTTCCTGATCCTTACTATTGTCGTTTTCCTCTACTTCTTTTGTACATTTGTCACTCTCTTGTGACCTGCTATTTTGGGTGCCTTGATAGTCGAAGCAGACCTTGTGCTGTTGAAGCTAGAGAGGTGAGCAGTCTAAGTCTGATTCCCTGTAAAGACTTCTCTTTTGACACCCACCCCTTGGCGCTCATATGACCCTTTGCAGTTGCGAGCGCCGTAAAACCCTCTACTATAAAATTTAAAAAAAAATAAACAACCTCTCCACAGAGTGACGGGCGACAGGATGGACTTACAGATTCACCTGCGGCCACGTGGCCCGGACGGCCTTGTGTTCTGGAGTGGGGAGGACCTGAGTGGCCCGACGGGCCGGGATTTCATGGCCTTGGCCTTCCAGGGGGGGAGTCTACAGCTGCGCTACAACCTGGGCAGTGGGGAGGCTATGATTGGCTACAATGACTCGCGGCTTTTTGACGGGGGCTGGCATTTTGTCAGGGTTCAGAGGTAATTATTATTATATTATTATTATTATTATTATTATTATTATTATTATTATTATTATTATTATTATCATTATTATTATTATTATTATTATTATTATTTTGTCAGGGTTCAGAGGTAATTATTACTATTATTATTATTATTGTTATTTTGTCTGGGTGCAGAGGTAATTATTATTATATATTATTATTATTATTATTTTATTATTTTGTCAGGGTGCTGAGATAAAATGATGAAAAGATTGTTGTTTTTGTGTGTGGGAGGGAGGTGTGGGTTGGGATATTTACATGCGTTTGAGAGGGGGTTTTCTGTCACTGTGCTGTGGGGGAGGGGGGGGGGGGGGGGGGAGAAGAGGGGTTCCTGTGGTCTACAGTTGTGCTCCAATATAAGCAGAGTAAAGGCTACCTGAGCTCATTTGCCGAAACTGGCATCCCTTGCTGTCCTTCAGCATTTTCTATCTGCTTCATCTTGCCTTTTCTCAACACTAAATGGTAATCCTTTTGTTTACATGCTCTTCGCTGCGATAATTTTATCCATTCTTTTTTCAACATGTTATTTTGCTTGAATTGCACCTGTTCTTTACGTGCTATAATAATAATCAAATGCTGATTGCTGAATTCTCATATCTTTACAGAGACAAGCAAGACTCTTATATGGAGATAGACGGGAAGGAGATAGTGGAGGGCAGCTCTCCCGGAGGCTACACTTCTCTCAACACCAACAAAGTTGTTTATCTGGGTGAGTGGAAAGGAGGATTTGATGATAGTAGTAATGATAAAGATAATTATGAAAATGATAGTAATAATGATAATTATAACAATAGGAACTTCTATAGTTCGTTATCCTTAGAAGGTTCTAAGCACTGCACAATGCAGAATTATCAGTCGATCGACAAATCAAACAACAGAAAATGCACTTTATGAGACCGTTTAACGTCACACACAAATATGCGTGCATGTGGGCACACGTATGTGCGTGCACAGCTCACAGACTTGCACGCATTATCACTTACAAAATTTACTGGCAGAGGATAGATTTGAACAAATGTCTTTCTACTTTGCTTATCTCTCTCTCTGGTATTGTTATACGCATTTCTTTTGGGCGGGAATTTTAATTTTACGGAATGAAGCCTATAAACAAATGATCTGCAAAAGTTTCTGGAACACAAATATATATTGATGAACTTGTAGAATAGATATAATACTAAATGAGTTGGATTGTTTCTGGAATAAAGTTTGAAGCTATAATCTTTCTCAAGATCTCACCCCTTTAATCGCCCATCTTAAAGTCGTATTTGCCGACAGTATTTTACTTTGTTTGGGAGCCTGGGTTTATTAACCACTCAACCGTACCCCCAGTATCAGTCAGTGTTCTGTTTCCTTCCACAGGCGGTATGCCAAACATTATGGAGGCGACCGGAGGGCGTTTCATGACGGGTTTCGTGGGTTGCATCAAAGGACTTAAACTGGCCACGGATTATGACGTGAAACTTTTAGGTCATGCCTACCGCGGCCGTAACGTCGTACAGTGCAAGAAAAAGATGTTTTTGTAGTTTGTATGGTTCATTGTGCTTTTTCACCTTCATACTTTTAGATTTTTTCTCTCGTCTAATTGACGTGTCAATCAGGTTTTATTGATGATGTTTAGGTTTAATTTACTGGTAAAAGTAGTATAAATCAGAAAGATTCTTTTAAAAAATGATTGTTCCTTTCCTGAAGATTTATTTAGGCTTGGCTTCTGCTTGGGAAAGAAAATGAAGGAAAAGATGGTTGTCCTGTTTCAAGATGTGGGTGTCTCCTCTTATGTCCTTATACATTAGTTGTGAGATTATAACCCTGGAGAGACAGCCTGTAATTTCCTGAGTACCAAATAGTGGAAAGAAACAACATACAAAGTGTGCATGCTGTTCGTACACTTGGATTGCACCTCACAACCTCCTTTCCTCTTTGAAGATGTGAGAGGTGTGTAGTTTTTGGGTGTCATGTCGTCCTTGTTGCTTGAAATGGGGGATTGAGTCTCCCTAGCCTCATCATAGTCTCATCCAAATATATGAAGATTGCTGGCAACAGACGAGAATTGCTTTTTTTTATGAGGCCAAATGCACACTGGCAGTTCACGACATAAATTTATCTTTTTTTTCCTAGGCACACCAGCATTTGCTTTAGGAAAATTGTTATTTCTTTGTGCTCTGCCAAGTTGTTCCTGAATGAGCATAAGTGGTTGATTGACTAATCTGTTTTTGCTCGGAATTGAATGTTATGAATGTCAATGAATAAGAATAAGAAACAACCTTTGGAAGCCTACTTTTTAGTTAGTCTTTACACCAAACTCTGTTGATTATGTCAAAACTTTAAAATACCACATTCGTCATTTTATGTAAATTGTCCTTTGATGAAAAAGATTTGTCTTTTATGCAGAGGTGAGAATATGAGAGAAAATGTTGCTGATGGATTTGAAGTATATGTCCCGGAGGTCTGTTTGGTTACTTTGATTTATTTTTCAGGCCTATTAGTCATCTAGATGTGCGTCATTTGATAATCACTAAGTTAATATTAGAGTTTACAATTGTCGATTCTTTTCTTCTTTTTTCTTATAATTCGAAATCAAAATGTTTTGAAATATTTTTAAATCCAAAGATTTTTTTTTCAAGTTTGACGCTTGTTTTTTTACTTGTTGTTTTTTTTTCACATTCCCAATCTTTATGCGTCATTCGAATGTACATATTGTTCTAATGTGTAGTTTGTCAAGTGTCATTTTGAGTTTAATGTGTATAATTTCGTACTTCGATCCAGAAAAGGATGACTTAAAGTTTGCTCATTTTGTTGTGATGAGAGTAAAGTCAGAACCCCAGACCCACCCATTTCGGGGACAGTGTTTATTGAGCAAGTACGTAGTCAGACCTGAAAGTTTCACAAAGTGCTTGTGGTTGTTGAGGAATATGATGTTGCTATTTCTTTTCCGATACTCTTTGGTTTACATTCACCCGTTGGGTTCCCCCTACCCCTTTAAAAAATTTTTTTTTTTTTTATAAAGAAATTTTGAACTGATTCATATGATGATCTGCAAGTTGTTTTTACCCTTGCAAGTGGACCAAACATTAAAATGTCTCGGGGTCAGTATCGTCAAGCACATTTCTCGGTGTGCTGGAATGCGTCCCTGACTCGATGATATAGCCATTTGTGGATCTTGGTTCGTAATATACCTCTGTCTTCACTTTTGCCTTCTCTTGGTTGAAAGTGCCACGCCGTTATTGTGAGAGTTCCAGTGGCTTGTTAGTGAGTGTTCTGTCATTTTAGAGGTTCATTACATATGCTATTGGGGTTTTTTTTTGTATTGTCAGATGGTCAAAATACCTGAGTCTGTTTCTGTCAAAGAAATCAGTTTGACCTTAGTTGGGTTTTTTTCCTTTTTTTTTTTTCTAAATTCAAGCTACTGGCCCTTGATCGCTTTTCTATTTCCCAGACTTTTCCTTCCTTCACACTGACAAATATAGATCTATGGTCTGTCCTTCTCCTGATCTCCCTCCCTCCTTCCCCCTGATGCTTTTACATTCAAACGTATATGTGTCACGACGCGGTGAAATCAGGCGTACGTCATTTTTTGTGCACGTGGAGTTATTGGTGTCATCTGAAAGCTTGTTCATTTATCTTGCTTTTGATGAAAATAATACCCATCTGTCTTGAGCAGAAGTGAAGATATTTGTGACTTTGTTTCAGCGATAAAGATAGCAAGAAAATTGCCGCCAAAGTTTGGTGACTACATATTTTGAGCTTTTAATCAATGTTTTTCAATATCATTCATATGGAAATGTGTTTTTATTTGGACATAAAAGGGTTGAACAAAAAACCAAAAATTTGATTAAAATTGCAACAAAACTGGTGGGAAAATGCCTGTTTCTCCAATTTTGTTATTTTGACGAGCGCCTGATTTCACCACGACACCTCACATATGAAGCTCAGTGGTTGAGCTGAGGTTTTGTTACTGCGATGGTGCCCCCCCCCTTGTTTCTGTTGTGAGCATAATGCTAAACTGGTTGTGCCCTGGAGACTGCTTTCTATATCATCAAGCAATTGTAGCAGAAGATTGAGTGTAGCTTGCACAATTTATGTATATATATATATGATTATACATAAAATGCCAGTTGTAGTTTTGCTTTGGGATGTTTTACTGTAATGCAGTTTCCACCGTGAGTAGGGCCTGTTTTGTCGGCTGTCATTGGTTGGCTTCATCGCTCTTTAATTGAAGAGATGGAAAGAGATCATAATTTTGAGGCTAGCATGTTCTTTTTTAGATTGACAATTTTTGTTTGAAGTGCTTGCTACTCTTTAAAAAATGTTGTGGTTAAATGTCATAGTATGTGACAAAATGAGTTACTTCTCATATTTTAGGCCTATAGACATAGATACGTCAAATTTATTTGTTATGCTTACACAGTGTATTTGTATGAAATGATAAAAGAAATGTTAAACTTGAAGAAAATGGCATCCGTTAATGATCTACAAATTTGACCCTTGTGCCGATTTTTGTCCCATATCTCCATCCATGGACTGCGAGAAGTAACTCATTTTGTCAGTATGCTTCACATTTGTGGATTGTGAGAAGTAACTCATTCTGTCAGCATGCTTCACATATGTTTGTTTTTACAAAAGAAAAGAATATCACAAAAGTACTTTTCTTATGTGTGGAAATCTTCTTTACAAAAAAAAGACCAACGAACAAGAAAGACAAAATGGAGGTGAAAGGCTAGTGAAATTCCTTTCAGACGTGTACAAGGTATTGCCCAGTTGTTCAGCAAGTCGTGCTAACAGGTCTGGTGAATGTCCATCATACAGTGTGACCTTGCTTTTGCTGCTTGAACAAGTGTAGTTCCAAAAGTTCCAAAGGTTATCTGCTTGAGACTGAAAGGAAAGAATATATTCTACTCGTTCCATTTTGCAACATTATATCGATGAGAGACATTTTATCAGATGAGAGGATGCTCCAAGTGGGGTTTTGTTTATTTTTTTGGTTATTCTCTCTCTTCCCCACTCTCTTTTTCAATCAATGGTTTAAAAAATACTTGTGCAAGTATTTTTAAAAAGCATAATATTGCCCTGAAAGCTGGTCAAAATATTATCTTTCTAGCTTTTCCCAATTATCTGTCTGAGAAATTGTATTATTTGTTATTTGGTCATAAATGCTGTACTGTATCTAAAAAAAAATTGTAGACTGATATTCCTTTTCCTCCTCACAGATTTGAATCAGAGAAATAAATGTTTAATTCTTTTAGGGGATTAAGAAAAATAATGAAAGTATTTTATACTGACTTCTCGTGTATGTCTCAAATGTATGTTACACAAGTGAAAGGAAATATAGTTATTTATGCATGCTTTCATATTTATATGTACCCGGAAATTACACAAATTGAAATCTGAATTTTTTAACAGACTATTTTCTTAAGAACCACACCAATATACGGAGAATGTTTGTGAACTTTTTGCCATTCCCATAATGTGACATTTTTGGGATTGAGCAGATGGTAAGATTTGTGAAATTCTTATGGTCCTTCAATGGCTGTGACTTGGGACTGACTGGTTGTGCAACATTTGTGGTTTTTTCTTTCCTATACATGAACCCCCTCCCCTACCCCCTCTTGTATCTTTTTCTGTTGTACATTTTGTATGAAAAGTAAATATCAATATCATTGATGGCTGACTCGAATCGTGTATTTGCTAAATTAGGTCAAATACTTTTTTTGTCTCAAATTATGGTGTTTTTTTTTTGTTTTTGTTTTTTTTAAACGAATGCAATTATAATTGGAAATACTGTAATGGATGAAAAGAAAATTCTACTTAAAATTTTGAGCAGTTTTAGGCTGTATTGGGGGTAAACAAATAAATTACCCCCCCCCACGCCAAAATGTTTTTAACTTAATTCAGACGATATACGTTTTGAGTGGGACGGTATCATTCACCAGAAAGATCTGATCACTCTGATTGGCTGTCCCGTTTTCTGCTTCCTTTGTGCTCGCCACGCTCCTTACTTGTACAGATTAGTAGACGAGGTCGCACTGCTTGTTCACGTGGAGCTTTATGTGTGGGTGGGTGGTTGGAGGGCGCTATAAATGGGTCTTACTTCCCCCATCTGTTGTGTCTGTGCTTTGTCCAACTAGCACTAACCAGCTGCTGTAGCGTCGATGTACTTCCTCGGGCTAAAAGCTTCATTGTCTGCCGGTCTAGACCAACATTTTGCGAATAATTTGTAGTTGGTGTAGATTATTGTGGAGATGTGCTCCTGGTTTTTTTCTTTTTCGTCTCAGACGGAGAAATGCTATTTATCAGTTTATTTATTCAAGGAGTTCTTTTCTCTTTGGAAAAGAACAGAGAGCCGCCCCCCCCCCCCCTTTTATTTTGTCCTCTTGTTTCATGTGCTTTTAGCTATTCATATTGAGCATAATTACACCCTCCCTGTTGTGAGCTGTAATGTATGTCAATGACAGTTGTTGGATATGTACTTTGTTTCTCAAATTCACCTCTTTTTTTTTCAAGTTACTTTTGAGACCGTAAGAATATTATTATTATGGCAGTCTCTGTCTAACCTCCCTATCCTTGAGCAGAGATCAGTGAGTCAGGCATTGTTCAGGTGACTTTGTTACTTAAATCTGTCCCCGTCGTTTTATTCAGGAAAAATTCTGACATTAAGCAAACTGAGCCCCAAAATGTGAAATTATGTGATTATGTTAATTTTAACAAAGAACGATAAAGGAAAATAATCAGAAATTTTGCAAAAAATTATCTAATTTTGTTAAATTATGCGGGGTGCATAAAACCAAGGGGACAGATAAATGTGAGCATGGAGATACTATGGCAACGTTATGTTGTCAAGAAATGACAAACTGACCAGGTGGGGGCAAAGGCATGGATGATTTGACGTGTGTGTGAGTGTACTCCAGGCTTTGACGTGGAATCCACATGGAAAACGTAAGAAAAGAAGACCAAAGATGACATGGAGGCGAGCTATACAAGCGGAAATGGAAAAGGCGGGGACATCATGGAACCAGCTAGAAAAGGATGCACAGGACAGGCTTCAGCAGGAGAAATATAGTTGATGGCCTATGCTCCACTGGGAGTTAAAAAGGGCAAGAGAGAGAGAGAGTGCTCAGAACATATATCAGATGTTGCCTGCCTGCCTGCCTTCAAAGGTGATGGTCTGGAGTTCTAGTGTTGCTCTTTGATGAGGGAATTCCGCTTTTTGGGCGTTTTGTTAGGATATTACTAATAGCAAGTGTGTGAGGTCAGTTTGACTTTGTCTCTTCCAAGACTGCGCTGAAATGAGGGATTTTTGGGAGATTTTGATACTCTATTCGCCAAGGATAATGTTGCCTCTGAAATGTCAATATGCCTCTAATTAACTTTAAGACTCAATATTTTTCTGAGACAGATATCCAAGTCTTTTTGTATAATTTTGCACTGATGTTTTGGTGGAGAAAAAGCAGCTGATGTTCCCTGGTCTTCAGCATAACCAAGCTGGAAATGCTTTTTCACAGCAATATATACGAGTTCCTAACTGACTTCTTTCTGTCTTCTTGTTGCACTGTCTTTATGTTGCTGTTGTTTCCTTTGTCAAAGATAAAAAAGCATAAGCAGGTTGGTGCAATAGAAAGGTTTTTTTCATAGTGCAATTTCTTCTCTCTATTTATCTTTGGCTTCTTTGTATTTGGACTCGGTTCAGTGTGGACCATGACGTTATTTTATAGCGGGAGTCCTTTGTCCTTTTCGGTGAAGGCAGATCAAAATGACCCTGTCTGTGCACCTTTGATAATTAAAGACGCTGCC